CTTTGTACTTCTTCCTCTGCTAACTCCTTTTCAAGTTTTACCTCAGGAATCAACTTCCCCAAAAAGCCATCTTTGTGTTCCCTGCATTAGGTGTATCCTCTTTGGAGTAATAATAAAAAGAATGACCGTTTTAGTCATTGTGCCATGAACTATGTTATTCACATTTCATAAATCTATGCTTTTCAAATATGCTTTGATAAGCAAACAACTTATATCTCTGTATAAACATCTTCTAAAGTCTTAGGGCTTAGAACAATAATGTGACTGTGCCCTATATACTATCTCACAATTCTACAATGCTATGAGTTGGTGATTATGAGCCCTAAATTATAGATGAAACAGAGACAAAAGTTAACTGTTAATTGTCTAAGGTAATTGGCAAAGCCCAGGTCTGAATCCAAGGTTTCACCATTGTGGTATTGACTATTTCAGGATTTCCCAGTGACATTCCACTTCCGACTGTAGTTAAGTGTAGGAAGGGGTTTGTAAGGGTCCAGCGAAACATCGGAGGAAGAGACCACACAAGAGACTGGCTTCATGCAATTGGCAGGAGGGAGTTTATTGAACCAGCATGCTGGGGCTCAAGGCTCACTCAGGAAGGGAGAGCAGCCCAGAGCCCAGAGCAGAGGTCAAGCAGAGCTTAAGTACACTTTTTGGGGAGGGGGGGCGGGAGGGGGGGCTTTGCATACATCAGAACAAATCATCATGAGGCGCAGGAAAATTGAACAACAACTCTGAGACATGATTATGATTAGCACATTCATTGGCGGGAACAGGTCGGGCGGGGGGGATTGGTCACTCCTAAGCAGGGTACACATTCAAACTGATTGGTTCGGGCCCTGTGACAAACTGCACAGGGCCCTAGGCTAAATGGCCAGAAGGGCGTTGTCTTAACTATCTCAGGAATTTCAGGTTCTGGGTATAGCAGAGGAACTTTGCGATGCCCGGTCTTTTTACATTTTAATTCAGGCTTTGTAGCTTAGAAACTTTACCCTTTCAGGTTCTTATTTATCTTTATGTCTCCAGCAACTAACTCTGTACCTAGTTCATAATAAGTACTTGGTAACAGAACCTTAAAGTGGTTGTACTCTCAAAAGTATTCTAATCTAATATCAATAAGTTAATAAATGTAATGTTGCCATATGTTCTTTTATGAATTTATACTATTGTTTCCATGTACGGAGAAACTTATCACTAGCCTTTTTAGCACTTTTAGTATTCCAGTTTTTACACTGAGAGGAAAATGGGAATCAGTCATAATTACCAGAGCATAATTGACAGAACTAGAAATAAGGCAGGATTTTTTTTTCTCTTAAGTTAAATATACAAAAATAAATGAATGAAGTTACCCATTTCACTTCTTTTATGTGATCCAAAGGCTGCCATGTACAGAAACTAAAGCCTCAGTAATGTTTTCAGGAATTTTTTTACTTTCTTTCCTGGTTAAATGAAATTATGACATAAATTGAAATTGTCTCAATGTAATTAATATATATTAATATATATCCATGTGGAAACATGCCACTTGACACTTTATGTTTTTAGAAGTTCAACCAACCTAAGACCATTTAAAATAAAATATACATTTAAGCAAAATAATAATGTAGCATTAAGCTATATTTCAGCTGGGAACTATTTTAAAATGCTGAATTGAGAATCTTAACTAAAGCTAAAGTTATTACTTATGCTGTTCTGGTTTTTTAGTTGTGATTAAAATATTTTTTTACTATAATTCCATGTTTCAAAAATTAGGTCAGTTATATATCGTGTGCATGTACTATGTGTAAAGCATTGGATGGTAGATAGAAAGGTAAGGGATGTAGCAATGATTAGGGCTTCTGTTTCCCTTGGTATGACAGACTAGCAACCCTAATCAGCCCTCCCTCAGAAAGCAACTTTATAAGTATAAAATACATCAACTATGTATTTTGAAATAACCTGTCTCCTAGCCTACTGATTATTTTTTCTTCTGTTCTATTCTGCTAGTGATACCTTCCATCACAGGATTTCTGTTCAATTTCTTTAAAATTCAATTTGTTAAGATTCTTTGTTACAGCACTGAATGATTTTATTGTTTTATTGAAGTTCATTGAATTCTAAGAGTTCACAGATACTGATTAATATATGGTCAGTTTCTGGTGCCTTATTTTATCAGATAAATGAGACCATGATCTCTGAAAGTTCTTGACATTTGTTAGCATATATTGTAGTCTCTCTGTTAGAGGATTAGGTGTTTATTCTAGTTTTCATAATCTGGCTTTCTTTGGGCCTGCCCCCCTAAAAATTAAAAGCAGTCTGCTTATTTTCTCTGTGGACCTTTCTGCAATTTCATCACTAGATGGCATTCTAAGTCCAGGTTTGCTACAAGTTGTTGCTATTTCAAGGCTAAAAGGGTCCCCAAGCCTACTTTTGCCCCACATCCACAGTAGGTATTTGGCTAAATGAACTGGAAGAGTGACTAAATAACAGTCTGCAAGCCTCCATCTGGGACTGGGGTAGACCAGATGCTTCATCTAGTCACAAGCCTAAGATCAGATACTGCAGGATTCTTCTGGGTTCTGGCATCATCACAGAAGGATTGGCTCTAGGATCTTATGCAACAACTTGAATGCCTGCCTCTCTCTTCTTGCCCAAAGTGGACAGTTGCTCTTTGTGTACTGTCGGGGAGGAATGGAGTGGGGAGTCCCATGGCATCAACACTGAAACACTGAGCCCACCAAGACCAATATAGCACAGGTACCTACACTAGTATAGTCTGTCTACCAAGACTTTACCCCCAGCCATAGGTAATGCTGACTGAAATGGAAGTCTCATATACTATTGTTATGCTCGAATTTGGGACCCCCAAAAGACCACCAGAGACCAAGATCGATGTAAACAGCAAAGAGGTGTTTATGGCTAGCTAGCTTGGTCCTCCGCGTGCACACAGCAACTGGTGATGCTGAGAGACCCTGAGCCCAAGGTTTGCAGCAGTTTTATACGCTCTTTGGAGAAGGCAGGGACCCCCACATACGTCATAGCATCTCTTAGCAAATCATCACACACTGCGGGAAAATAAAATAACAACTCTAAAACATGATTAGCACATTTACTAGCGGGAACAGGTTGGGTAGGGGTGATTGGTTACTACAAGAGGGGGATTCATTTGAACTGATTGGTTTAAGCCAAGAGGGGTGTTCGTGCTGAACTACCTGGTTTCCCAACACCATAAACTACTGGGAGGGTCATCTGGCATCCCAGGTATTTCCCTGTCTCATGCTGATTGGTGGCTTCTAGGGGGTTGCTATGGGTCTCCACCTAGCCTGACTGAGTCAGGGACACCTGGTGCAGGAGATCTCTCCTGTTATTTGTAGATAAACAACTTAGCAGAGTGGGAATGTGCCTAGGAGTGCTCTGTGGGTCTTTTCAAGGACAAAGGTCATGTCCCTTTCTTGGACAGGCTTTGCTCTGAGGTAGAGGCTGGTTTTTCACTATGGTACCAGAACAGGTACAGATACTCCATTCTAAGGCACTGCTTGAGAACAGGGACCATAAGACTCTACCCAGTGTTAGGTATCATCAGCCTGGCACTAAATTCCAAGGCAGTCCTATGCTCACTTTCCTGTTTTACTCACCAATGGAATGAGTGTTGCTCCTTGCTATGCTGACCAAGTTTGGGGGAAGGGTAGTAAAGATAATTTCCTTATTTGCCCAGGCTGTGCTAAGCTGTTCACACCTGAGTCTCGCAGCTGTAAAGACCAGTACTGACTCAAGGATGTATACCAGACCTATACAGAATTTGGCAGTGATGCATGCTGAAATACAAGTCTGTCCTACCAAAGTATAGGTCTTCACTTGATGTCAGGCAGGTGTAGAAGCTTCATCTACAAGTTGTAGACTGAAAACATGGACTTCAGGCTCCATCATGACAGTCTTGGCTCTGTGCTCCAGTGCAAGTCTAAGCTCACTTTCCTGCCCAGTTTCCCGGTTGGCAGAGTATTGCTTCTCACTCTGCTGCCCCATGTTGGCAGAAAAATAGTGGAGGCAATCAGCTACCTGGCTAAGGTATATCTAGAGGCTTAGTCTGTAAGTACTCCCTGTGGACAGGAACTATGGGACTCTATGAGGCACTGGATTTCAGAATAGTGGTCCTAGTTTCAAGTCTAAGGTCTCCCTTAATTCCTTCTCATTCCCCCAAGTGGGCCGTGTCTCTTTCTATGCCATACTGCTTGGTGTTGTGGGAGTGGTGACATGGGTTATTCTTTACTGACTTCTTATTTGCATCTTTTATTCTTATTTTTATACTAAAACCAGACATTGTATTCTCTCACCTGCCTTCCTTAGTTCTTGTGAGGTAGTTTGATCTGTGGATAGCTGTGGTGTCTCAGGGAGGAGAGGATCAATGAGCATCTTAGCCACCATCTTGTTCTCAATGTCTGTTGTACTTAATCATAACAGCCACTCTATAAAATACTTAGATAATCCCCATTCTCAGACAAAGAAACCGAAACTCTTAAAGAGCTAAGTAACTTCCCTAAAATTTCCAAACTCAAAATAATTTGTCTTCCTCGTTATAGAGTCTATAACATTTTTCCCACATACTATGTTATTTTCCTGCATTTAAAATAATAGCTTGTACCATGGATAAATACATATCTATCCAATATTAAAATATGTTGTTTATTCTTGACAGCTAGTGCTTTGCTGTAAGAATGGTGTCTGAGGTATTGTTGTATAGCTCATCTTTAGGAATTCATAATTCTCTAGATTTTTACCCTACCCCAAAATTAGACTTGATTGAATAAATATTAGAACTTCTGAAAGGGTATATAGGTATGACTATTATAGTGTACGTGTATGTATTTCTGTTTTTAAAGTACAAGATAATTATAATTTTTACCTCTGAGCCCAGTTTCTATATAATTATGATAAAGTTATTGTTCTGAAATTTATTTACTGAAAAGTAAGAATTTAACAATTACATTGCCTTCATGTGAAACTTTTTAATCTTTTATATTTAGGGTATCTTCATTGTAATGAATACGATAGACTGAGGTTGAGATGGCTGAGGCAGACATTAGAATCTTTCATCCCACAACCTTTGATAAATGTAATTAAAGTGTCTGAATCAGATGGCAGAGAAATAGGAGATGCTCAGCCTGAAACATTTGACAAGGTACTTTTATTACATTATGACAAACTGATAAACTCCCAATACCAAAATTTAGTTGCTTTGTTATTGTGGTTTTCCTTCTGTTCCCAGATATAGCCCAGTACATTTTCTCAGCACTCTGGGAAATTTTGATAAAGTGAACATGGGTGCACTTTTAATTTGATGGTCAACAAAGTTCACAGAAAACAGTAACATTGGGTTTGGGGATTATAGAATGTTTTATATTTCCAGGTACCTGAAGAATACGCAGAAAAAGATCAGATATTATTTGGGTTAATCCATAGACATGTCTACTGACAGCTTTAATATAAGAGTAACATATCAGAGTATGAGAATTGAAGAAAAAAAGGTTATTTCAGTAAACTGAAATTGAAATGTTCTTAAAAATAAGTGCAGAAAATTCAGAAATACAGCAGTGTCTGTTTAAAATGAGTAACTATTTTAAGTTTTTGCTGTGGTCATCAAGAATGTTAAATGTCATTAATAGACATTAGTAGACCTGAAGACTCCCATCTTGCATTTCCCCAAACAAAACAAACAAAACCCAAATACTGAAACCACATAGGAAAAAATTTTGAAACATATTAATGAGAAAAGATTATAAAGAACTTATCACATATATTTTTTATTCCAAAGAATTTTTTTTTTACTTACTGTTTATTATGTAGCTTTTCTAAATACTTCTTGCCTGACAGCATATTTGCATTGTTTGCCTTTCTCTGTTGTAGGTGTTGGTTGATGCTCCATGTTCAAATGATCGAAGTTGGTTATTCTCTTCTGATCCTCAAAAGGCAACCTGTAGGATACATCAAAGAAGGAATTTGCCTGTTCTACAGATGGAACTCTTAAGGTGAGCACTGTTAATACAAAAGTATATTTGAGTTTCTAGCATAATGTAAATGGGTGTGACAAAGCATGTAAAGCTGTCAAATGAAATGCTTTCTATGTAGGTATCCATGATTAATGCCTTTGAATTCCCAGCCTCTTCCTTTTTTGCTCTCATGCTATGACTTCTAACTCCTGGTGAAATGCAATTATCATATACATTGTCCATTAAAGGGTGCAGATGATTTTCTGTGGTTCAAAGTTGTTTACTGGGACTGTCCCAAGCCTAAGGTCATCATCCTTTTATCAGAATCTGATCAGTCCTCTTACAGGAGTAATTTTGGACCAGGATGCAAATTTTGGTAATCTTCTAGGTGAGTCAGCTAGTGCAGAGAATTCAGAAATACAGCAGTGTCTGTTTAAAATGAGTAACTATTTTAAGTTTTCGCTGTGGTCCTCAAGAATATTAAATGTCTAATATTGAATATTATATTCCTAAAGAATATTATCTTCTTTAGGAAGATATAACTAGTTTTCACACATCTGCCTTCTAAGATGTTTTCCAGAAGTTACTGGCCACCAAGAGGTAGGGAGGCATGGGGTTATTAATGATGGTGGAATGTGATGATCCTTATTGTCTAAAGTAAAGGTATGAAGACACGAATTGGTGTGAATATACTGTGTATACAACCCGAGATATGAAAAATTGTGCTATATATGTGTAATAAGAATTATAATGCATTCTGTTGTCATATATAAATAAAAAATTTTTAAAAAGAGGTATTTGGTTTCCTGCATTGATCAGAAGCATTAGGGACATCCTTAATGCCATCCATCTAGTTCCAAAAGAGACTTTTTTTTTTTTTTTGGTATCAGGGATTGAACTCAAGGGCACTTAACCACTGAGCCACATTCCCAAGCCTTTTTTATATTTTTTATTTAGATACTGAAAGTTTAACTTGCTTAAGGCCTTGCCAAGTTGCTGAGGCTGGCTTTGAACTTGTAATTCTCCTGCCGCAGCCTTCTGAGCCACTGGGATTCCAAGAGATTTTTACTTATACACTTTTCCCAATTAATGCCAATTTTTTAATGCTTGTATTAGTCCATTGTTCTATTGCCATAACGAAATACCCACGGATGGTAATTTTATAAAGAAAAGCTTTTATAGCTCTCAGTTCAAGAGCATGATGCCATAATCTGTTCAGCTCTGGTTGAGTGCCTTTTGGCTGTATTATATCATGTAGCAAATTGTCTCATGGTGGCAGTATATACAAAAGGGATAGATCACAGAGTAAGATTAGAAGTCAGAAGGATTTAGGGGCCAGGAATTTTTATTTTTTATTTATTTTTTAATAAAACTCACTCTTTCAGGAACTAACCAGGATTCTGAAATAACTATATTAATCCCTTCTGAGGATGGGATGTAAAAACTTTTCACTGTGTCCCATTTCAGAAAGGTTCCACCACGTCCCTGCCACTACACTAGCTTTCAGCATATAGACCTTTGGAGAACACAAACAATATCCAAACTATGATAATGCTTGAAAAAAAAATTCTAGAATATTTAAAATAAAACTGTGACCTATCACTCATTACCACTTACATGTAGAATTTCAGTGAGTCACGGTATGAAATTCTGATAGTGTGCTTAATTTCCAACAATGAATATATACCCTTATCTAAATATCATGACCAACACTAATGCATACTTTTGTTCTTGCTCATATTATGCACTGGCTCAGAATTATAGTTCATAGTAGTACTTACCAGAAAGAAGGTTTTTCTGAATATTTTTAATCTGGCAGTTCGATCATTGTAAAGAAATCAAAAGGAGACAGAAGCAAGGTACAAAGGCAGAATGGCTCCTCATCCAAGCTGCCAACTTTATTTATACTAATAGGTTACATTCGGTCACTGTACATTATTGTTTATTATATCGTCAAGTAGGTTACAACAGGTTATAATGTAAGATTTTTTGTTTATGGTTAGATATGTGTTCTGGCTAAGCATGCATTGGTTATCCTAAGAGTGCCTGGGAAAAACTGCAGAATATTCCAGCCATTGGTAACAGGGCACCTTTTACTCCCTGGAAATATACAGGAAACGCTATCCTATATATTCCCACGGTCAGAACCCTTGCAGACCATTTGTTCGAATGCTTCCAATGTCTGTCATTTATATACTATGACTCTTAAGACATTTTTGAAAACTCTTTATTCTCTTTCCTTTTTACTGACTGGGTTATTAGCTTTAAAATATTGTTTAGATCTTTCTCATATAATTTTCTAGTTCAATTTCTTAATTAAATATTTCTGCTACTCAGGCCTTGCCCTTGATGTCCCTTAAACTTTATAATAGATAACAAATTTTGTGGTGCCACATTAATACCATGACTGTGTTAGTAAGAGTTTTATGGCTGTGACCCAAATACCTGACAGGAAAACTTGAAGAAAAGTTTATTTTGGGTTCAGAGTTTCAAAATTGAATTTGTGGTCAGCTCACACCATTGCTGTGAACCTGAGGTGAGACAGAACATCATGATGGAAGAGCCTGATTGATGATAGTTATTCAGCTCACGAGAGCCAGGATACAGAGATAAATCAGGGTGCCAGGAACAAAATATAATCCCCAAGAACACACCCCCAGTGACTTAGTTCATCTAGCCATGCCCCACCTATCTATAGTTACCACCTAGCAGTGCATTGAAATTATCAATTCATCAAATGGATTAACTCACTTCTGGGGTTACAGTTCTCTGAACCTTGTTGTATTGGGGACCATACTTCCAAAACATGAGTTTTTCAGGGAATATTTCTAGACACAAACCATAACATTTTACCTCTGGTCTGCAAAAGCTCTTTTCCATCTCACAGTGCAAATGCTTTCAGTTGATGTCTAAGAGTTCTTATAACAATTCCAGCATTGTTCAAAGCCTAAATCCAAAGGCCCCTCCAGTACCAAAGGCAAATAACTTTTAATTGTCTCTGCAAAAATCAAAGGCAAATTACATATGCCCAATATACAATGACACAGAATGAACATTTTCATTTAAAAGGGAGGAATGTTGGCATAGAAAGAAGGAATGGGACCAAACCAACACCAGATAGCCAGAAAAACATTAGATACTGCAGCTCTGCATTTGGGATCTGGGGCATCACTTGTACTAGTGTGATATGGGCCCCAAAGGAATTGGATAGCTCTACCCCTTTGACCTTACTGATTACAGCCCATGTGGCCTCTTTCTTTGTCTGGTTCTGCTCACTTCCTGTCGTTTTTCTCAGCAGATGTTCCACATTCTTGGCATCTCTTAATCCTGGGGTCTCCATGCAGCTTTGGCATTACTTTCCCTGCTTCAGACATCGCCCTCTCAGGTGCTGCCTACAGGGATTCGGCCCTGACACCCTTTGCCTGACATCATAGGTTTTCTGTTGGAATCTCAGTGGAAACTTTGTGACTCCCTAACTTCAGCATCTTGCATTCCTATAAAACCAGCATCACATGGTAGATGTCAAAGTCTATCACTAGCTGGCACAGTAGCCAGGCCCATTTGGACCATGGCTGCTGCAGCATCCAAGTACTTGAATGGCCAAGCACTGTGAAAGGAATCCTGAGGAAACTTCCTAGGTATTCCTGTGTAAATAGGGTACCCCTGGGGTCTTGTTAAACATTTTAACACCCTTGAACCTGCAATGGGTGTGATCTTGTTGATTCCTGAGATGCCATCAAGACATCTTTTCTATTGTCCATACAAAGTAGTTAGCTTCTGTTCAGTAGTGGCAATCTTCAGCAATCACATGTACTTTTCAGGCCAAACTGCAAGTTTAAAAAATCTTTCCTCTATGTCATTTGCTCCTGATTATCACACTAAAGCTGGCTAAAAGCTGCAAGCAATACTCATGCCATTGCCAGAATGCTGTTCTACCTTGAAATTTTCCTCTACCAGATTAATTAGTCCATTTCCTTTAAATTTAGCCTTACAGAAAAATCTCAGGATGTGGGCAAAATGTAGACAAGTTCTTTGCCAGGATGCTGCACAATGGCCTCTAGTGTAATTCACAATAGAATCATAATTCCCATCTGAAACCTCCTGAGCACAGTCTTTACTGTTCATATACCATTTGGCATTCAGGTCCTCTGAGCTCCTACCAGAATCGCCATTTGAGCTCTGTTTATAATATTCTAAGGCTTCTCTATTCTGCATCTCCAAACCCTTCCAAAGTCCTTAAACCACTACCAAAGGCATATGAGCCACATGGTCAGGTTAGTCACAGAAATAGGATCCCATTTCTTGGTACTAATTTCTGTGTTAGTCAGCTTTTCATTGCTGTGACCAAAATACTGACAAGAAGAACTTAGAGGAGAAAAAGGTTATTTGAGATCATGGTTTTAGAGGCTTAATTCATGGTTGGCCAACTCCATTGCTCTAGGCTTGAAGTGAGGCCAAATATGGCAGAATAGGAAATCTGCTCAGCTTATGGCAGCCAGGAAGCAAAAAGAGAAAAAAGAAGGGGCCAGGGATAGATAAAGATCCCAAGGGCATACCCCCAGTGACCTACTTTATCCAGCCATGCTCCACCTGCCTAAAGTTACCACCTGGTAGTCTATTCAAATTATTAATCCATTAAATGGGTTAATCCACTGATAATGTTACCACTGTCATTATTGTCTGAAAGCCTGCCTCTGAACCTTATTGTAGTGGGGACCATGATTCCAAAACATGAGGGATATTTCTAATTATCCAATCTATAACTGACCTTTAATTTTTTTAAATAAAACATGAGTAAGCAACCAGATTTCCTGAGAATATTTTTATCTTTTTTCTATCATGAAAAACTACCCATTGGTTTCTTTTTTTTTTTCTGTTTATTACCAGGCTATTTTTGTGTTTATATTCATATATGGCTTTTCTTCCCATATATAATCAATTCAATATATTTTATTTTTGTTTCCCTCATTTCTCCCTATCTATTCTTTGTAAACATATTAAAGACCTATTAATTTTAAATGGGTACTTTTCTATCAATT